ACTTCGATCCTCCAAACGCAGCCCTGGAGCTTCTGCTGTGGGCGCAGTGTCTTTGTGTCTGTTTTATTTCTTTTCCTCCACAGTCCTGCCAAAGTATTCCTTCTGAAACTGCTGGAACTCCTCCTCTGTGAACAAAGACTTTGCCTCTTTGGCCTTCTTCACAGGCCTGTCCGGGTGATTTCTTGACTGCCTCCCTTTATTGTGGTTCACGATCTATGTCAGACAGAAATCAAATCAGCACGTTAGGGCCACCTGTAGACAACAAAAGCAGTTCATCAGTAGCCAGTGATGGCTATGAATCTATTTGGGTTATCAATAATGCAAAAAATAAATAAATAAAATCCTGGGATTTGGATCTTTACTGTACAGTTTATTTTTTGCCGACATTAAAATTGATACCACTGCTGAATCTACGAGCAGGCTGAGAGATACCACCGGGTGCCACCAGTGTTTTTGTGGCTGTGAGCAAGCTGCTTTTTTATGTAAATATGACTCTTCTTTTTAAATCCTGCTTAACATTTTGGACTCCAGTGTTTCAAGAAGAGATAAAAGTCACAGACAATGACAGCACTTGTAAAATGTGAGGGACTGATGACCTGGTTACCTTCAGTGTGTCAGAATCCGTTGCTTTACAGCCAGTTGCCATAAAGTATTTGAGGTTCTCACTCAAATGGCTCTTCCCCTGCTTCTTCCTGAACTCCTCTACAATTCAAACCAAAGAACAAGAAATTTAGAGCAACATCAACTAGACTGTAAAAGAGTAACAGAACAATTATTCAGGTTTAAGTTATTTTTCAGTGGAAGGCTGTACATTTTACAACTGAGTTTAAGACCAATGCTGCCACCTACTGGTCCTTACATAAAAAGCAAAAGCCTCTGTACCAATTGTTTTTACTTTTTCACAGATGTCTTTTATTCTAAGCATGAAGAAGACTGAAATACAGCAAGCAGACTGACCCACTGCAGACTTGATCCTCTTGTCTTTAACAGTGGCTTTGCTCTTGCCAGGCCCAAGACGGCCTTGCAGTCTTTTGACCTGCTTGGTAACTCCCTGCCGCTTGGTGCTCACCAGCTCCATCACTGTGGCTGAGCTGGGGGTCTGCTGCTGCTTCTTCTTCACTTTAGTGACATCTGGCAGGAAACACATGGCAAAAAGACACGCACAAAACCCAAAGTAAGCTGCAGACAAGGAAACATGTTCTTTTAAGAGTGTGAACCGATCTTTTTGTCATTCAAAAGCTATACACTAATTATAGCATATCTGAACGGAATCGTGCTGCACTGGCTCACAACATTAATAAAAATTGTAGTAACAAACAGAGCTATAAAAAATGAATGTGAAATGCATAAAAAAAACAGTAGTATTGTTAAATTACCAGTATATTACACTTATAGATAGCAATGGAGTATCACAGCAGCAGGGAGATCAGTCCAAGTGTGGTCCACTGTGTGTGTGTGTGTGTGTGTGTAGATGGGAGGGGTATTAAAAAAAAAAAAATTAGAAGCCTGATGGCTATGAGAAAGAAACTTGGAGAATCTGGCTCTTCTGCTCCAAATACACACTCTTCATCTGAGACAGGAAGTGCAGACATTGCTGTGCTCCCATTACAAGAGAACAAAGCTAGAAACTTAGTGCTGCTGTCCACCTCCTCCACAATGTTATTGATGAGAAGCTGTGTGTGGTACACCAGTCGCCATCAATTGTCTCCACTTGCCGCATGCTTTCATGCTGGGAGATGATTTGTGTTGAATGCGGAACTGAAATGCACATTGTGAGTCCTAAAAGGTGATGATCATTAAGACATGGAACTGTGGACTGTTTTTAGGAACTAGTATAATGGTAAAATTCTTGAAGAATGATGGTACAACTGCATGGTTCAGTGAGGTATTGAAGAGGTCTGTGAGGACATGACCCAGCTGGTCAGCACATTCCTTGAGCACCAGTCCCGAGGCGCTGCTTGGGTACGTCAGTTCTTCTCAGGGTCCTCCTGACATCAGCTGTGCTGAGACCAAGTATCCGCTCACCCGGATGAGGAATTGCTTTCCTCACAGGAATGTTATGTAGGTCGAGGTTAAGCATAGTACCGTTATTCAAATACGTCTTCTTCGGGCTCTACGTTGCTATGGTTTAATGACGACAACGTGAAAACCTCCGAAATAATATTCAAGTAATCACTTTTAGACCTTAAAGCAACATTGTAAACCCCCTCTATTACGGCCTAACTATAACGATGTAAAAAACAAAACAGATCAGTCACAAGTTATGGTCAGAATTATAATAGCGAGAGCGCTAACATCCAATACTGTTAGCCAACTGGCACAGCAAGCTCAAGAGGCTAAACTGACCTTTAATGTCATTGCTCAGCAGCTCCAGTCCTCTCCTGATCAACGAAGCCGACATCCTGATTCAAGCTACAAACGTTTTCTTCTACTTTCCACAAACTACATCCACAGAAATGTGCTTTTATAACCGGGTAACAACATGTGGTTCCATAAACATCCGGCAAGCTCGCGTGCGTCGGTTAAAAGCAGTCGGCTTGACGATGTAAAATGAACAAAGTTCCTACCTGGATGACCTGTTGTGCTATTTCAATTACTTTAGTTTTAAATTTTTATTCTTCTTATTCTTCTTATTATTATTATTAGTAGTAGTAGTCAGTGCGCCCCAGGGCAGCTGTGGCTACAACGTAGCTTGCCATCACCAATGTGTGAATGTGTGTGTGTGAATGTGTGGATGACTGAATGTAGTGTAAAGCGCTTTGGGGTCCTTAGGGACTAAGTAAAGCGCTATACAAATACAGGCCATTTTAGTAGTAGTAGTAGTAGTAGTAGTAGTAGTATCAAAACAGAACTGCCAACTCTCAAATCAAATATGCTACAATATTTGATCGTGTTCAAATATTGAACAAGTGGCTCCAATCCTCTGTTATTTTCACTTCACACGGAGATAGGTTAATAGATTACGTTTTCTGTTGGAGTTGGAAAAATGTGCATGTCTCGCTGCAGACTTATGAATGAGTGTCGGTTCAGACTTTGTCTAAAATGTAGGCTAATGCCATTTTTACTGTGTCCCCCTTTCACTTTTATCAGTGTCAGGTGAGCCGAGGGGCGTGACGGTTTGGCATGCGCTCTCTCGCCACCATTAGTACCTTTGCTCACTCGACCGCTCCCGACTTTTGGCTCGGTTTTGTTAAATATTGTGAAACTTAGGTAAACTTTGTAGCCTGTCTGCATCTCCAGTTCACCATGGCTCTCCAAGCCACCGCTCTGGTCACCTCTAAGTGGCTGGCTCAGGCTGTAAAGGTCCAAGGGAAAATGCGGGTCTTGGACACTTCGTGGTATTTGCCCAAACTGCGGAGAAACGCAAAGACCGAGTTCAAGAAGAAGCATGTGCCGGGAGCAGCTTTCTTTGACATTGACCACTGCTGTGATAAAACCTCTCCTCTGGACCATATGTTGCCGTCAGAGGACTATTTTGCGGAATACGTCGGGAAATTGGGAATAGAAAACGACACGCACGTCGTGGTCTACGATGGCAGCGAGTTCGGGGCGTTCTCGGCGCCCCGCGTGTGGTGGATGTTCCGAGTGTTCGGGCACAGTGCGGTCTCTATGCTCAATGGGGGGCTCAGGAACTGGGAGCTGGAGGGTCGACCTGTGAGTGACCGGTACGTCAGACACACAGCGACCGAGTTCAAAGCCTCTCTGAACCGCTCGTGGATAAAAACCTATGAGGATATCCTGGATAACCTGGAGACTAAAAAGTTCCAGGTGGTGGATGCCAGGCCCACAGGCAGGTTCAAAGGACTGGACCCTGAACCCAGAGACAGTGAGTAGTCTGCATTAGAGCCTTTATGATGGTTACATGGTTACAGTCCTGCGTGCCCCACTCAGGCTTTTGAAGAGATCCACTCTTCTCAGAACTTCATTACATTTTCAGATTACTGACACCCGTATTTCAAATAGCATCCTCAGACTACAGGCACACTGACATGAGGGGGCGTGTACTGTATCTTTAATCTTATTGCCTCTTGATGACAAATGCGTTGATTATGATTAAGATAACTTCACAACTCAGCTATTGTTGGGACACACTTGTGCCAGGATTTCCGGTCTGACTCATGTCCGTGTGTAACTGAAATACTTCTAAAGAACCCAACGTTACACTCTTTTCCCTTGGAAAAGATGGTGACATGCATTTTTTTAATAGAATTTTTATCTTGGTCAAAGTGATGACTGAGTGACTCACAGTAACGACCCACAGTAGCTTTTACTACGTGCATTGTTGATAGTAACTTTTTCATTAAAGGGTTTATAGACAACATTGATGATCTTATTGTGCCTGTTTTTAAGATAAACAGAATGATTGAACCAGTCAACTTGTTTAAGAGTGTTTAAGAATGACTGATCAAAAACTGGTTCGAGGATTGCACCTGGAGGCGGGTATCAATTACCAGTTTGAAATTCTCCAAATGTCTTCCTGTGGTCTGCGCAGATTTGTTTTTCTGGCAGTTGTACACTGCAAAGACTTCAAACTCATGGCAGTGGAGGTGGATAGACACACAAACGTGTCACAATAAGTTATTATTGTTATTAGGGGAGGATATCATGGCTCATGATATTTTATGTTATTGACCCCTGACACTCCTCTCTTTACTAGTGATGGGATAATTAATGAACAAACATGGACAATAATTAGTATCTTATAAAACACAATTACAGTTTGACTCTGACAGTGACGTCAGGGTGACACAGGTATGGGGGGGGGGGGACAAGATAATGGTTTGCCAGTTCCTTGTACATAGAGTTTTATGGAGTTTGCTCTGGGCTTGGATGACTGAACAACACAAACATGAAAAGAGGTCAGGCAGACAGGCCGTACTTGGATAGCCCACATTTTAGCTATAGTCAATGAACCATACACACACACACACACACACACACACACACACACAC